TCCTCCTCCTCCTCCTCCTCCTCCTCCTCCCTCTCCTCCTCCGCCTCCTCTTCGTCATTCTACTTCAGGTCCTGGTGGCTTTTGTTGGGCGCACTGCATGGCGGCAGCTGCGACCGCTTAGATTGCCACTGCGTTGCTCCCATCGTGGTCTTGGTCGCGCTATTGGGATAGCCCTCTGGAGGGGCAGCGGAATTCTAGTTTCCTTTGCCGTGAAAAAATCAAGGATATTATTTGCATAGCTCAGCGCAGAGAGTTCGAAGGGGCCCGAAGACACACTCCAACTCCAACTGGTGCCTCAGGCTACGGTCTACGGTGGCGAATGTTGCCCGAGCTGGACGGGATGGGGACGCGAATACTGGCTAATCCAAGCTCGCCCTATTCGGTTCAGGCTGAGTTTGATGCCCTGCGCATCGTGCGTACCATGTGCACTTGTTTATATTGCTGTTTCTCTCTTTCTCTTTCTTGCACTCTAGGCCTCCTAGATGGGGTCCGAGTAGATGGGGTCGGAGGATCTCGCCGCATCGCCGATGCATCGCCGATACGGCTCGATGTGGAGCCCAATATTCTCCGTGCTGGCGTCGCCGATGCACCGCTGGTGCGTCGCCAATGCATCGCCGATGCATCGGCGATGCACCGGCGATGCGGGACGATCCTCCGACCCCATCTACTCGGACCCCATCTGGGAGGCCTCTGTTCGCTGAGTCGACCCCTGCCTCCTCCAATCTCCCGCGGTCCCTGCCTCCGCCTCCCCCACCCGGAGGAGCTCCGCAGGCAGGAGGCGCCAGCGGAAGCCGCAGGCGGGGGGGGACGCGGGGCCGGCGGGGATGGACGGAGGCTGAGGGAGATGGATCTGCACGAGAGGTTGGGGCTGCACGAGGACAGCGTCCCAGACGCGTGGGGGAAGCTACAACTCGCGCTGGCCTCAGCCCGCGAGGGCTTCTTGGTGGCCCGCGCGCTGTCCTCCCCGAGTCGGTCGATCCAGGCAGCGGGGAGGAGAAGCGACGGACCTCCTCGCGCGGCGGAGTGGGTCGCGGCGGCAGGGCGCGTTGTGCCACGACATCACGTCGCAGGTCCGTGGAGTAAAGCGGAGGAGGTTTGTGGAGAAAGCCGAGGAGGAGGCTGAGGAGGAGGAGGAGGAGGAGGAGGAGGAGGAGGAGGAGGGGAACGGGAGGAGACGGCGGAGGAGGCTTATCAGAAGCATGAGCAGCGCATGGCTGGGGACGAGGAGAGCGAGGAGGAGGGTGGGAGAAGAGGAGGAAGAGGAGGAGGAGGAGGCCGAAAAGGACGAAGAGAAGTAATAAGAGAGGGCGGAGGGAGGAGGAGGAGGAGAAGGAGGAGGAGGAGGAGGAGAAGGAGGAGGAGGAGAAAGAGGCCGAGGAGGACGAAGAGGAACAAGAAGAGAGGGCGGAGGGAGGAGGAGGAGGAGGAGGAGGAGGAGAAGGCCAAGGCGGATGCGTAGGAGGAGTAAAGGGGACAGGGTACATGAAGATGATGATGATGATGATGATGATGATGATGATGATGATGATGATGATGATGATGATGATGATGATGATGATGATGATGATGATGATGATGAGATGAGGAGGATGATGATGATTGATGATGATGATGATGATGATGATGGCTGATTGGCTGATGCTGATGCTGAGGCTGCTGATGCTGATGCTGCTGGATGCTGATGCTGATGCTGATGCTGATGCTGATGCTGATGCTGATGCTGCTAGCGATCTGATGCTGATGCTGATGCCTGGTGCTGCCTCCGGATCTGAGCGATGCTGATGCTGCTGATGATGATGATTATGATGATGATGATGATGGATGATGATGCTGATGATGGTGATGGTGATGATGGTGATGGTGATGGTGATGGTGATGGTGATGGTGATGGTGATGGTGATGGTGATGGTGATGGTGATGGTGGTGGTGGTGGTGGTGGTGGTGGTGATGGTGATGGTGATGGTGATGGTGATGGTGATGATGATGATGATGATGATGATGCTGATGCTGATGCTGATGCTGATGATGATGATGATGATGATGATGATGATGATGATGATGATGGTGATGATGAGTTTAGTGATGGTGGTGGCGGGCCAGAGTAGATGGGTTCAGAGGGCAGCACCGCATCGTCGATGCATCGGCTGAGTGCGTGATCTGGAGCTCGTTGTTCCCCATCCCGCCGTGGCCGATCCGGCGGCGGTGCGGGGCGACTCCCCAGCCCCAGTTGTCTCCGGCCCACTCGGGAGGCCCTCAGCGGGGCGCTGGGCGAGGGCCGAGGGCCTCCAACCCGACTTGCTCCTGGCACATTTGAGAGGCCTCGAGCGGAGCGCTGGTTGAGGTTCGAGGGTCAAGGGTCGAGGGTCGAGGGTCGTAGGGCTGGGGCAGAGGAGGAGGAGGAGGAGGAGGAGGAGGAAGAGGAGGAGGA